CGGACAAATGCGTGGCTTGTTTGTTTTTCTTTTGTTATTTGTATTTCTTTTGTCGTTGTCTTTTTCCTTTTTTCTCTCTTTTTTGTTTTTCATATGCCACTACCGGTAGATCGAGGCTCGGCAAGGCTCAGGATACTGGTCGGCTGAGCTTCGGCATGGAAAGCTGAGAAAGGTACTGGTGGTTTAAGGAGGCCTCTCGGCCACAGAAACGTTAAACCACCAGTGCCTTTCCCCGCTTGAAAAAAAAATGGAACTTTCGGGGGCCGGGCCGCTGTTGATAAATTTCATCGGCGGCGGGAGTTGCGTTTCGGGCCTCCGGAAGTCACAGTGAGGGGCCCACGGCCAATGTATGGGAAAGGTACTGGTGGTTTAAAGGCCTCAGCATTCGAGTGGTCTCAGGCCCATCAGGCAAGGCTCCAGTATACTCCCCATGGCTGAAAATTTAAGAAACCTTATGTGATGTGATATAGGGCCTCGTTAGACACTCCTTACGAGTTCCTTGAGCCACAAGGAAATTTCCTTATGGCTCTTAAGGGAAATTTGCGGCATCGTTCCACTCATTCTTGGGGACCTCCTCCGAGGATGTTTCCTTGTGGCGTGCCCGCGACCGTTTTCATACGGAAATTAGTGGCCGCGGAGTTGGTGGTCCTTGGTCCACTGTCTTTTGTCTGTGTGGAGGTGGCGTGGTCCAGCGACGTGTGGCAGGAAATGGCATGAGGCAGGCGACGGGAAAAAAAATTAACCCAGGGGGCGTCGACGTTTGAAATTCGAATTTTGAATGACGGCTGCGATGACGACGACGACGTGCGGCTGGTGGCGCGAAGACGGCGTACTGCTGAAACGGGCTCAGCGGCGTCGTCACTTCCGTCCCCCAGCAGTTGCGAGTGCGCACGCATCGTGGGGTGCGTCCATCGCCGTCGACCTTCGCACACGTCGACTGCGCCTTGAAACACATTTCCGTCTGCGAGACAGCATCCAGAGAAAACGGGCCAGCTTTCGAGGGACGTCTTCAGCTTCTTCGTTGGGTGTGGAAGGACGACACACACGACAGGGGAGCTACCGGTCCGTGTCCAGGTCGCGGCTATGGAGGGCGCCGGAGAGGATGGACGTGTGGTGTTGACGTCTCTTGAGCTGCAGGCCATGGCGGCGCCCATGTCTACCATTGTTCTTCGATGTCAGCAGGAGAGGGCGCTGGGACGACTAAAGGAGCAGTTGCGCGCACGTAGACGGAGGACATTGATGCAAGCTCGAGACGATGGCCCCGACTACGTGGTGAACACGGAGGCTGTTGTTCAAGTGTGCTACTCGTTGGGTTGCAGAGTGATTCCTCGAGCGACGCCGAGGTGGTGGATGAAGCGCAGGACAGGTAGCAGGACAGGGAGTTGCCGGTCTGCTGTTGGTCAGTCGTCAATCCATCCTGTCGCCGTTCTTGCAAGATCTCCTTTTGCGAGCTGCGACAGGGAGCAGGCCGACCAAACACACGTGGAAGAAGACAACGATGCGAAGCAGCACGACAACGAGGAGTAGCAGGGGCAGCCTGTGCAGCAGATCGGCCATGTAAGGGCCGTGGAAAGGGCAACAACTCCACGGCAGTGGTCGACCGTCCAGTGAAGAACTCCGTCGAGAGAAGAAAAAGCGAGGGAAGATCTGTGCTCGGACGTGCAAGGCGTGACGACAACCGACGAAAACGATGATCTTCCAAAACAAAACTGTCGTCATCCAACGCAGCGCCGGCGCGGACAAGCATTCAAATTTCTGACCGTTGTCGACGATCGCCCAGCGCAGCAGACCGCATGACACTGGCCGGTGACGCCCGATTCGACGGACGGAGGCCTCACACGGACAGTGACCGTTTGGAGCCGTTGGGGTGCCGCCCAGACGGTGGAGGGTAGGGATGTCCGTGCTCCCGTTCGGTGGACCACGTCTGGACCACCCTCAAACCGAAACTGTGCGTCGACGCGTGCCTTCGCTGCTCCGAATTCCGCACTTCCTTATGCTCTGAGGGACCTCGGGAAGTCCCTTGGGGATTAGGAAAAATTGGCTGTAGCCACAAGGACGCCACAAGGAAATTTCCTTGTGCTGTTTTCACTTTTTTTTTTGCGAATCTTCCCCAAGGACAGGTGGAACGAGCGCTTCCTTGTGGATTTCGGGTCCACGAGGATTGTCTAACGAGGCCCATAATACCTGATTATCCAGGCCACTGGGTGGCTGAGTAGCTCCAGCATACTCCCAGCTCACAGTCACAGGGTGGGTTATGCATCCGGCAGTCACTACTATCAGTTGTCTGTACAAACACGCAAGCATGATGTTCTGGGACGCTGGACCTGGTTTCCAGCAGGTGCTGCTTCCCACCAATAGATGGAGCCTCCCCCGAAAATGTTAGTGGTGGCTGCTCTTATCACCACTCCTAACACCGTCTCGGGCTTTTTCTTTTTCTTTTTCTTTTTTTTTTTAATAAAGAAACCTTATGTTGGGAGTCTTGAGACCCCATGTTATAAAGAAAAAAAAATCCTGGCTGTCTTCCTCTTCAACGACCTCTTTGTTTTCCTCCGATCGTTCCAGACCAAAGCTCTGATGTTGGTGGGGACCACATTCAGAATGCTCAGGTCAGACTCCGTCAGAGCAAGACTTGCCCCTAAACACCCTGTCAGTCTTGAGCTTCCAGATAACA